ATGTGTGCAGTTATAGGCATAGACATGTCTTTATTATTGTAATATACTTTGGGGAGCGTCAGACATGAGGAGACATGGCTAATTCAATGGAGCTTTTTATTGATAGCATGTCCGAGCGGACTGTATTGATATGTGTTCCATATCAACTAGGCCACTAGATGGCAGTATAAAGCTGCCGCAAGCCAAGTTCAACACTACGTTAGGGAGTGGAATAAAAGCATTCTGATAACAGTACTCGGTGAGTGAGCCTCGTCAATACATGGTACCAGGAGAAATGATAAAAGATGATGAATTCCATCCGTTCACCAGACGAATTGAAGTTGACTGGTAATGTCAATGAGAATTGGAAAACTTTCAAACAAAGTTTTGAACTTTATGCAATCGCCATTGGGCTGGATGGTAGTGAACGGAGGAAAATAGCATTGCTGCTAACAGTGGCAGGACGCAGTGCACTGGATGTGTATAATACATTTGTTTTCACGGAAGATGAAAAAGATAAGTATGAGGCTGTGATTGAGAAATTCGAGCAATACTGCACACCGAGGAAAAATGAGACCTATGAGAGGTATGTCTTCAGAAATAGACTGCAGAAAGAGTCAGAATCCATTGAACAGTACGTTACTGATTTGAGACTGAAAAGCCAGTCGTGTAATTTTGGAACGCTTTGTGACTCCATGATTCGAGATCAAATAGTAATAGGAGTACAAGATAAAAGAGTGAGGATGCAATTGTTAAAAGAGACAGAACTCACATTAGAAAGGGCAATAAAAATTTGCCAAGCGTCAGAATGTGCATTGGCACAGCTAAAGTCTTTCAGTGATGAGAAGGAGACAGCAGAAGTGGATGCAGTTCGAAGTGCCACTGAAAGAGCTATGTCAAAGAAGAAAAAGAACAAGCCAAGTCAAGAGAGCAGGGGCTGTGGAAAGTGTGGCAACAAACATGCACCTAGAAAATGCCCAGCTTTTGGGAAGGACTGCAGGAATTGTGGAGGAAAGAATCATTTTGCCAAGTGCTGTTATTCAAAGAAAAAAGTCCAGCTTCTAGAAAAGAGGAGTGACAGTGAAGACGAAGAAGCACCAATCTTCGTGGACTCAATTGCAGATGGACAAACTGCTCCAGATGATGAGTGGATAGCAAACCTGTATATAAATGGCACTGACGTTTCATTGAAATTAGACACAGGGGCACAGGTAAACATCCTGCCCATGAAAGATTTTCAAAGACTGAGGAAAAAGCCAAAGGTGCGTGACAAAAAAGTGAATCTGAAAACTTATGACAACAAGACCATACCCACAAAAGGAGTGTGCAGAGTGAGTCTAACCGGTAATGGGAAAAAGAAGGATGTTCTTTTTGTGCTGGTGGAAGGAAATAAACAAGCTATACTGGGACTGAAAACTTGCATGCAGCTTGGGTTAATAAAAAGTGTCCATGTCATAAATAAAGAAGTGACAATACAAGAGAAGAGTAAAGATGCAACTAAAAAAAAAGCAATGCACAGTGACTGGGCAGAGGAATATAAGGAAGTGTTCAAAGGAGTTGGACGTTTACCAGGAGAACACAAGATAAAGTTGAGAGTAAATGCAGAACCAGTTATTCACCCGGCAAGAAAGGTGCCAGTTGCTTTAAAGGAAAGACTGAAGGAGAAACTAGACACTCTGATAAGAGAGGGAATCATCAGGAAGGTAGAAGAGCCCACTGAATGGGTGAACTCCCTCGTAATAGTGGAGAAACCTGATGGAGATCTAAGATTGTGTATAGATCCGAAGGACTTAAATAAAGCAATCCAGCGAGAGCACTATAGACTTCCAACAAAAGCAGATATAACTAGTTCAATGAGTGGAGCACGTTACTTTTCTAAATTGGATGCCTCATCCGGGTTTTATCAGATAGTGCTAGACGAGGAAAGCGCAAAGCTATGCACCTTTAACACGCCATTTGGAAGGCATTGTTTCCTAAGGTTACCGTTTGGCATCAGCTCAGCCCCAGAGGTATTCCACAAAACTGTGCAGCAGCTTTTCGATGGAATCGAAGGAGTTGGAGTTTTCATTGATGATGTTGTAGTATGGGGCCGCACTAAGGAAGAGCATGATGCAAGACTTCGCAGGGTCCTAAATCAAGCACAAAGAACAGGGTTAAAACTGAATGAAAAAAAATGTCAGTTTGCGGTAAGAGAAATTACATACCTGGGAGAAAGACTGTCTGAAGAAGGGGTACAGCCGGACAGAGAAAAAATCCAGGCAATTGAGGAAATGCAGAAACCAAGAGACAAGAAAGACCTGCAGAGAGCCTTAGGGTTAATAAACTATCTGGGGAAATTTGTTCCAAATCTGTCAGCAAATACAAGGTCATTAAGAAGCCTGTTGGAATCAAAAACTGAGTGGCAGTGGAAAAGGGAGCATGAAGAAGAGTGGTTGTGGCTGAAGAGCAGTTTGACTAAAGAACCTGTTCTAAAGTTCTACGACCAAGATAAGCCACTAAAAGTCTCAACAGATGCATCGAAATCGGGTTTAGGAGCTGTTTTACTCCAGCAACATGACAGAGAGTGGTATCCAGTCGCATATGCATCCCGCACTATGACATCTGCGGAAAGAAACTATGCGCAAATAGAAAAGGAGACTCTAGGTGCAGTGTTTGGCTGTGAGAGATTCCATGAGTATGTTTACGGAAGACCAGTCATCCTAGAGACAGACCATAAGCCTCTCATAGCAATTTCAAAGAAACCACTGGGAGAAGTGCCACCACGCATACAAAGACTAATCCTGCGTCTACAGAAGTATGATCTGGCTTTTGAATTTAAACCCGGCAAGCACTTAATAGTGGCAGACACCCTGAGCAGGGCAAGCATGTCTAATAACACAAGCACTACAGAAGAAGAGGTGCAGATTCATGTGGACTCTATCAAAGCACAGATGCCAGTGTCAACTGCAAAGTGGGCTGATATAGCCACTGAAACAATGAAAGATGAACATTTGAGGAGGTTGATAGAAATAATTCACATGCCGGGGGAAGGAGTGTTGGATAACCCATACCAACACTTTAAAGATGAACTGTCAGTGCTAGATGGAGTTCTGCTAAAAGGAACAAAAATTGTTGTATCTCCATGAGAAAACAGATGTTAAAACTTGTGCATGAGGGACACTTGGGTATGGAAAAGTGTAAGAGGCGGGCAAGAGAGGTACTGTATTGGCCGGGCATGCATAGAGACATAGTGACGTTAGTGCAGCAATGTGACGTATGCCAACGGCACAGATATCAGCAACCAAAAGAGCCCATGAAATCACACGACAAACCAGTGGAACCATGGAGAAAGGTTGGAATGGATTTATTTCAACTGAAGGACAAAGACTACTTGTTGCTCATGGACTATCATTCAAATTACCCAGAATTTGTGAGGCTGTCAAACACAACAGCAGAACATGTGATTGTGCAAACAAAAGCCATATTTGCACGTCACGGTATTCCAATAACTGTAATAAGTGACAATGGACCACAATTCAAAAGTCAGAGCTTTAAGGACTTTGCAAGAAACTATGGCTTTGAGCATTTAACATCAAGTCCCCTTTACCCGCAATCCAATGGCTTAGCGGAGAAAGGAGTGCAGATCATAAAACGCCTACAAAAAAAAAGCGCAGAGACAGGTGAAGATCCATACCTGGCTGTTCTAAACTACAGAGCATCACCGTTGGAGAATGGCCTTTCACCAGCAGAAATGCTCATGAATAGGAAACTGCGGACAAAACTTCCATCAGTGAAGTATCACAAGGTACAAAGTACACGGAATTCTGCGAATGAGAGGCAGGAGAAGCATTACAACAGAACAGCCAAACCACTAAGTCCACTAGCTCAGGAGGAAGTAGTGCGGGTGAGATGTGATGGACAGTGGGGACCGCTGGCCAAAGTGGTAAAAGAGACTACACCCAGGTCATACGAGGTGTTGACAGAACATGGAAAGATAATGAGGCGGAACAGAAGACACCTGCTCAAAGTGCCTCAGAGAGACATAAGAATCAAGGAAAGTGACTCACATGACCTGGAAATCTCAAAGCAATGTGAACAATCAAAATTGCAAGGCAAGCTATCAGAGACTGATAAAGAGAAAGATTGTGAGACTCAGAATGAACGTCCAAAAAGACAAATTAAAAGACCAAGAAGACTGATAGAAGAAATGTGAAGTTGTGTTCAGATAACACTAGGGTAATCAGAGTTATGTTCAGAGTGTATGTTCTTATAAAGTTTCAAATTTAAGTGGAGACAACTAAGAATTGAAATTGGTGGAATATAAAGATTTATTTAGATTAATAAAAAAAAAACTGTTCGTGTTAAAAATAAAAAAGGGAAGATGTATTGATATGTGTTCCATATCAACTAGGCCACTAGATGGCAGTATAAAGCTGCCGCAAGCCAAGTTCAACACTACGTTAGGAGTGGAATAAAGGCATTCTGATAACAGTACTCGGTGAGTGAGCCTCGTCAATACAGGCAGATTGTTACAATGCATTCAGTCAAACAATGAAGGACTGCAGGACACTATGGTCATAGAGTGAGTGGACATATCAAAGAGCTGAAAGAAGAGAATGTTCCTGTGTAGAGGCTTCCTACATTGATGCTTCACGTGTGGTCTCTCCCAGCAAAAGGATGATAAGGTCTAATAGGGGACAAAAATAAGCAGTTCTGCAACAAATCCTACATGGACCTCTATTAAATGAACTGCCAAGTTTGGATTGCTGGAAATAGGGTGCGGAATGTTGAGACTTTTCTTAACCTCTTAAGCGTCACCCCCCATCAGTGGCGGTTCTACTTTGAATTACACCCAGGGCGAGACCCCCTTTCGAGCGCCCCCCGAATGCTTTGGAATATAGACGTAAGATTGGTCTTGTTTTAAAGAAGACATTTGCCAGATTTTTGAAGAAGTGAAATAAATTAAGAAAGTGAAAAAGTTTATTTGAAAAAAAAAATACAAATACACAAGTTAAACACATCTGAAAATAACATACTAAACATTTAATTAATTCCATTAAAAACCTAATTAGTTTTTAAAAAAGTGCAGTTCACAAGAGCTTCTGTGGCTGACTGATAGGTCAGGACCTCCGACTGGAAAGATTTGAGGCCGCTCCTCCGTGTCCTCTGCTGGCTGGACTTGTCTTGTTTCTTGTAGTTCATCCTCAAAAGTTTATCAGCCAGAAAGTGCAGCCACAACACATTAGTATGTGGATTATAAATGGACCAGCAGTTACTGAGAAACAGAGAATGAAAAAAGAACAATGAGAATCATCAATCCTTCATTTAGAATGAAAGAATTTTAAATATCTTTGTCTGAGGCTGAAGCACACACTTGTTTCCTTGCTTCATTAGGCGGAAGACTTCAGATTTGTAATCTCCCTGTCTCATAAACAACTCTTCATCAGAAGAGAGATCGCAAGACACCGTCAGTCCATCTGAGAGAGAGAAAAGTGTACAAGCATTTATTTTCCAATTCACGTGCATCAGTTTTACTACATTTTCAACTCGTGTAAGAGTAAAAGTTGGTAATTTTGACTAAATGAAACTTTCTCTAAAAAGGATGCAACCATAAATTTTCAACCAGCTTTGTATTGTTACAATGACCATAGTACGTTGTGAGATTACAAATTTTATTAATATGTTTAATTTGATGTTTTAAATGGAGAAAGTCTCTAAATCTTTGAAAACAGTAGGAGTTCCCAGCATGACACTCCTGACTGTCTTTTGAACCGCACGGGAAAGCTATGCCTTTTCTGTTTCTCATCTCACCGTGTGAAAATGCCTGTTTGAAGTTAGAACAGCTGATATATTAATGTCTGAGACCATCTTGACTGTCCTGTGACCACACAGGAAAGTTTGTCTTTCCTGTTTCTCGTTTCACCGGGTGAGAATGCCTGTTTGAAGTATTCACCTGCTCTGAGACCATTTGCCGTGGAGCTCGAGGGTCACATGCATTTACATTTGCTTTGTTTCAGTGTCCCCACCTTTTATGTAATCCCACCCTCTTTGAAATGTATAAATTAGAATGTAAGGTTCTTTTAAATCAGACTATCCTTGAGATGACTACAGCTATGCAATAAAGAACTTCTGCGTGAAAGATACGTCAAAAGTCTCCTGGTCTGTTGCATGGAAGAAAAACTTCACTACAGATGGTGCCGTGACCCGGATAGAGAAATCTTACCTGAATCAAGAACTGCAACAAAAGATTAACAGAGAAATCTTAGCTGAGTTCCAGAACATGATCTCAAAGCGGACTGAGTTCCAGAAAAAAAATCAACAAAAAAGAACTTTTCTGACTGAGTTCCAGACTGAACCTTTTCATACAAGCAACGATTCGGTGAGTTTTCACTCTATTCAAAGAACCAGATCAGTACCAAAGTTGTGCCTCTGCGCCGTCAGAGAGTTATCAGACAGCTGTAGTGTTTTGATTAACTAAAGTAATCCTTTAAAAGTTGTCTTTTAAAGATGATAGATATCATGTTGTCAGGCAGGGAAGATTTGACATTAAATGTTAATATTTTGGGATCCTCTGAATAAGTCAGGGAAGTTGTAAGATATCCTCTGAATAAGTCAGGGAAGTTTTGTTTAATGGAATAGTGCCTCTACGTTGCTAGAGAAGATATCCTCTAAACTTAGGGAAGATTAACATTACGTGTTAATATTGGTGATAACTTCTGTTCACAGAGAAGGATTAGCAATTTTTGTGCTAGTTATTGTGGTCGTATCCTCTAAAAGTTTTGGAAGGTGAAAGATCCTTTCCATTTTTCTTTCAGGGAAGATTAACGTAACATGCTAGTAGTTTGTGTTTGTTTTTTGTTATTTTGTGGTTGTTACCCTCTAAAAATGTATTTTAGAGATGAAAGTTTGATCCTCTGTACAAGCAGGGAAGATTAGCATAAAGTGCTTGTAATATTGTGGATATCCTTTGGTCTACCAAAGGAGGTTTAACAACAGTCGATCTGTGTAAACAAGTGTAGCCTCTATTGATCAGAGAAAGTTTAGTTTTTTGTGGGTGGTAAAGAATAATCACAAAATGGTTAGGAAAAATGCTAGGTTGGTTCCAACAACTGAGAAAAGTGGCCTTGCCACTCCATTGTGGTCAGATAGCGAATTTAAGTCATTGTTAGGAGAACACATTGACTCCATAGTGACTCAGTCAGTCAGATTGAATTTGACAAAGAAATTTGGCATTCACCCAGAAAAAGTTTGGTCTATAGATGAGTGTAAAAAAGTGCTAGGAGCAAGCAGGGCTCCAGACTAACTTTTTTTACTAGGAGCGCTGTTGCCTCTGAAAATTTAAGGAGCGCAAGCATAAAATTTAGGGGCACACCTTAAATCAGCTTGCAATGCAATTATTCAAATTTCCCCCAAAATAACTGTAATACTGACAAATTCTTTAATAATAAATAGACTTAACATTATGATATGCTGATCTATTTCGACCTCACTCAGACCGTCACCACGGTCTTACCTTGAATGACGCCATTCTACTAGCTCTCCTCGAGACCTAATGTAAACAATGTCAGATGACTGACCCCAAGTGGTTGGTTCCCTATAAAATATCCGGATGAACCGAACACTTCCTCTTTGCCTTTCTCGCCTCTTCTGAGACCGGTTTGGAGAAAATCCGTGTGTATACGTTGATATTTGGAATCTTTACCCACTCAATCCGTCACTTTAAGTGCAGGCGCCCGGTGCCCCTGAGGATTGCGGTAATTATTTTCCCTTTTTCTTACTATTCAGGTGAGTGGTTGGTTTTATTTACATTACAAATTTACAAATTTGATTCATGTTAATATTTGTTTTGTAGGGATTGTATTCCGACGCTTAAAAAAGCATACGGATGTGGTGAGTAAAATACTAATATTTTTTTCTGCTCTATTATTCATATCAGTTGAAAGGAGCTTAATTGTTTACCCGCTGATCGGCTGTTCACAGCTGAGGGGACTCTGTCACCTGTTTTGATCTGATCTCTATAGAGAGCCTAAGTCCCTCCCCTTCCGGTCGACCACCATGCGGCCTTATTTTGGAAAAATATTGAATGGTAGTCAATGGCGAGAGACAACAAATATTTTGATCTCGTTTGAATTGTGCCCTGAATTACACGTATGATGTTTGTCAATTTAAAAGATACATTTTAAAGTAAAGTCGCAGTTTGATGTAAAACCGACTGTGAAAATATGTAATTACAAAGACTACAAACCCCAAAGGCGCACATTTTCTCTCAATGAATGAAGCTAACTTTACTGAGGCTGTCGGTCATTGTTTCTATAGTCTTACATTATAATCGTAACGTTACGCCGTCATACCTGAGTGTTTTGTTCCAGACTGCACACACACGAGCAGCGGATCTCGTTTCGCTTCCCGGGAGATGTAGTTCACAGAGCGATTTTCACATAAAACTAAATGTTACTCTTCTGTTGTATGACAAACTGCGACGTTTTTGACTTTCAGAATTATCTTTTAAATTGACCAACATCATATGTGTAATTGAGGGCACAGTTCAGACTGAATAAAAAGATAAGTTGTCTCTCACCATTGACTACCATTCATATTTTTTCCGAAATAAGGTCCCATGAGCCGGAAGCGGAGGGGCGGGACTTAGGCTCTCTATAGATAGGCGTTTTTGGTTAAAAAAAAATAAAAAAAATTTATTAACATTTGTCAAACTCCTGTACGCAGGGTAGGGCATTATTACTAGGCTACAGCTGTACGCAGTTGTATTGTAATTATGAGTCAACCTATGTGTTATTGTCATGCTACCATGCATCCTCGGGACGGACAGCGGGAGTGTCCATCATGTCTGGGTATGGCCCATTTGCTGGAGGACATTGAGAGACCATGTCCCGCCGCAGCTGAGTTCTCCCTACAAGAAAGGGTGCAAAGAGCAAGACTTTTTGAACAAGCAACTAATGATAGAGGAGCATCAGCATCAATGGCTGAGGCACGCTCCCTTAAACGGAGACGGGAAAATTCTCCTGTTGAGGTTAATGATGGATCTACCTGTTCTGATGGAAGAAGGTCAAGGGCTTCAGATCTTCAAGCTGATACCCAGATGCAAATTCTTGCAACCTTGAGGGATTTGGCTGGTAAGATGGATGTTTTTAGGCCACAGAATATTGGTTTAAACGCACAACAGCATGCAGCTCCATCTGTTGTCTCTGAAAATGATTTCCCTCCAAATCAGGGAGGAAGAGGTAACATTCCTGACACCATTTCTCTCCATGCTCATGACTCGCTTTTTGGTAGAGATGATCAGGATATGGGTGAGGAAGATCAAGGAGATGAGTCCAGGTCTTCTGCTAATGATAAGGATGTTGCACAACCTGACATTCTTACCCGAATTCTAAGTGCTGCAAGAATTTTAGGCCTGGAAACATCGGCCGAGACATCAACTGCACCAGTGGTGCGAGGAGTGTGGTCTGGGGTTGCCCAATCCCAACCATCTGTTTCAATCCCTGTTACTGAGGATTATTCACAAAATGTTAAGCAAAGCTTGGAATAACCCCAAAGCTGCACCCCAGTTCAATGCTGGTTGTAGACGTTTTGCTAATGTACAATATGCTACAGAAACGGGCATGGCAGGTATGCCGGCGGTGGAGCGTGAAATGGCATCTTTAACACCCTTGGGTTTAGACCGGGTGACTGATGACCCAAGATGTCCCCGGAAGGAGTGTGAGAAGACAGATAATTTAGTGTGTCGAACCTACAACTCGGCCACACGTGCAGCCCGATCTGGTAATGCCTTAGCCATAATTCTGGCCTCTTTACGGAAACTTATAAATCCACAGGATCAGGACATCATTGGGCTGGTCGATGCAGCTCTGGTTACGCACGCCCAGCTTACTAGGGACATTGGGGCCTCTATGTCGTCTGCGATACTTTCCCGTAGACAGATTTGGTTGGCACAGACCTCCATACCAGATACGATCAGGAAGGAACTGACTAACATGCCTGTCACCCCAGGCCGGGTGTTTCATCCAGACTCTCAGTTGACGCTTGACAAAGCAGAACAAGCGCGGCGTAGAAGAGATTCAGTGCAACGCACGTTCGGTCCTGCTAGGACAGCTAGACCGTCATATCGAGGCTATCAACACTCTCATCCTCCTGCTTTTAATCGGTCAGGATCATGGGAGTTTAATGGAAGACAAAATACTCATTCTCTGGGGTTTGATAACAGCCGAAGTGCCAGACAAGCACCACGACATTCACAAATGGCTCGGTCTCGTACTTCAGGAAGAGATGCACCACGGAAGAAGCAGAACTCCAGGGGCTCAGGCCCCTATGGGGGTACTGCGTAGCAATCCTGGAGGAGCTTCCGGAATCTGCTCCCAGCTATGCCTGGACAGCTGGGAGAAGAAAATACCAGATCCTTGGGTACTCACTGTGATAAAAAAACGGATACAGGATCCAGTTCTGGCGACGACCTCCTTCG